ACAAGAATATATAGTATATTTGAACTGAAAGCAATTTTTTTTTTTTTTTAGTGAATTGAAGTCAGATGACCCACTTAAATTTGACTGGTATATATTTAGTTGTTGAATAGAACTTTCATTGGTTTCTTGAATATCCAATCCTTAAAATATAAGATTTCAACTTCATAGCTTTGTCATGGCTATTAAGGAAATAACATGCCTATTTTTGGCTCTATTTACTACTTTCCTTTATTCTACTAAGAAATACTATTTTTTAGTTGAGTTCATTGTTCCCTGAGTGAAATAATGTCCCCAAACATGCTATTTTTATATGGCTTGTAAGAATTTAGGCTTCCCTGGTTTCCTTCAAGGTTGCTGTACCTAGGTAATTATTAATGGATGGAAACATCAAGCAATTTCGTATAAGATTTTCTAATGATATATTGCAAATCATCCTTTAAAAGAAAAGCACTTAGCTTTATGAGAAACCATCCCATTTCAAGTCTCTGCCCTTTATGTTCTGGTTTTCAAAATTAATGATTCAGAATAAAATGTCTGACTTAAAATAGCTGAAATATATGTGGTTGGCATTATTCATATCAGTTAACAATGATTCTTTCACTGTGTCTATTTAAATACAAATTGCTTTTTAATTAACCATCTAAATTGAGTCACACAACAATTCTCTGGAATAAGGAGATTCATCCTTACTATTCCCATTATGCACTTAATACAATTTGAGCAAATGTCCAATGATCATCTGGTTGTTAAATGGTGGAATTAAGCCTTCAATTGGATGTCACTTTCAAAGCCATTATCCAAAGATTTCTTTTAATTTCAATTTCATAGTTCATTGTATAGGGGAATATCACTATTTAGAGGTTTTCTTATTCAATACAGAAATAACAAATAAAACAGAGAATAATAAAAGTAGGGAGAGTGAGAGGTGATAATAGTAGGCAAATAAATCCTATTTTTTAGTAAAAATTACAAACTTGAATACTATATCAATTCCCAAATAGAGTTAACAGATAACTTTAAAGGATCCGAAATAATGACAGTGAAAGTGGATAAAGTTGACAAAAATGCCTCTTTTTAATGTATTGACTGTCCTAGGAGGCAAAAATTGGAGATGTTTTAAAATGAAAACTAAGTCTGGAGAAGCAAAAACATAGAGGTGAAAATAATAAAATAATAATCCCTTCTATTCCATGGGGAAAATTAGTTGTACATTAAAGTTTACATAACTTTATTGGTAGAAGATGAGAAAATTGGATTACAAAAATCCACATGATATGGATTTTAGTAATGCAAGTTGAAGAGACTGATTTCAGAATTTTTTAATAGAAAGTATCTCTTGGCCCTCCCTGGTGGCGCAGCGGGTTAAAGCACAGCACTGAGAAGCTAAAGCCACTTCCGCATGAGTTCGATTCCCGCCTGCCCCGGAGGTGACCACATGGCGTGGCAGACCTCTCCTGACCCCCCCGCTGCTCCCCTCAGCAGTGTGCTTCGTCGATCTGCCTGTTCTTCTCCCCGCTCTGTCTCTGTGGAGCCTCTCACCGCCCCGCACCTCTGGCCTGTACCCCAGTTCTGTATGCATAAATAAATAAATCTTTAAAAAAAAAAGTATCTCTTAAGCACTTCTAAGCCAGGACTAGAAGATCTGATAAGTGAGCAGAGGCTGGGGCAAGCTGGGCAGTGCAGATTAAGTTGGTATATGAAGAGCTGAGCTGCCCAGAGCTGATAACCAGAACCAAATACAACAGCCTTCCAAACTCCACCCACTCTTGTAAATTTGAATACAAGACTTCTCTGCAGAAAGCTGCCTATGGTGAATGCTGGCATCCTCTGTGCCCTCTCAGTGATCACCCTGGAGAATGCAAAACACAATTACACAGACTGGACATGTTCTGCACCTCCACCATACCCATCAGGCGTCCATCAACTGAATCCGTATCAGGGTTTCTGTGTGATCAGAGTCAATCAGCAAAATAGGTTTAGAAAACTATACAAGTAGTTAGAAGGTCAGAGGTCTGAAGTAACCAAGAAGTTCTCAGCATACCTTTTCCTCAACACCTAGAGTTACCCTTTTCTCATCCTAGCTAGGCAAACAATCTCAGTGTGACTATAGAAGCTGTCAAACTAAAGGGACAAAAATGAGGAAGTGGGGCTGACTTGACAGTCAGCAGCTGCAGAGTAAAGCCCAGAGAGCTGGCAGAGAAGCTGCTTCAGGATCCTTACCTGGCTGCATGGTTGGAAATGCCATGGACCTCTCCCTTGACCGTGTCCTGCACACTTCCACCTTACTGTTTGCTCTAGGGACTGTTGACCTTACCTGCTTTTACTTGACTTCACAACAACCAATCCTTTTTGACTCTCTTTAAGTATGTACAAACCAAGTAATCTCAGGATGACATTACTTCTCAGAGACTGTCTATTGATATTAAAACGGTGATGATAACCCTGTTTCATAAATTCTCCTAAAGAATAGATATTAATATAAATTGTTCATGTTGATACATAGATTAAGATACAGAGGATTCTAATCTATCCTGGTTCTTATCTCCTGGACAATGACTAAAAATATCCACTCCCCTCTCCAACTTCAGACAGTTCTTTCTTGGCTTTGATACAAGCGCTTGTTTTCCTGACTTTAAAATCCAAATTTGTTTCAAATGTCATGCATCTATATGGAAAAGCAATACTAGCCTTTCAATAAAAGAACTTCAAGGTCTCTCTGTTTCTGTGAATTAAAAGATCCAGGAACAAGGGATACCAGAAATGTACAACTTTGACAGTACTCTAGTAAACCATGAAAATTAATTATTAAAATTGAATTTATCCTGAATGAAGTTTAGCACAAGATAACCATCACACTATTTTCTTTTTGTTTGTTTCATTTTTGGAAAGTTGCCTAAAGGAATTATGCCTTTGAAAATAATGGTTTTTTTTCCTCCATGAAAAAGAATACATAAGATAACATCTATTCCACATTTTAGCAATCCATCCCATTTTCATGTCTTCTGACTACATTAATTTGTCACATCCAGTTATCCTAATTTTTCTTTCCTGAAATGTATATGAGCGAGTAAGAATATATTATTTCTTTTGTTCCTTCTATTTAACTTTGATTAAGGGTAAAACTGAATCCGATTTTTAAAAACTCAATTTGTAAGTTCAGGAATAAAATTTTCTTCCTATTTTAACAAAGCCTCTACAATAAGAATTAGAATATACTGTTGACTTAAAGGGTGTTAAAAATCTGCAGTTGAATTTTGAGTTGCGTTTTATAGGCATAGTTTGGACTCTGCAGAGTCAGAAGGTTGATGACCCAGAATTCCTTCTTGATCTATGATTCTGAGAATAAGGTCTATCTAAAACAGATCAAAGAGACAAAACAGAACCTTAACATAATGTTTTTATCATTCATAGATATCTGTGTATTTCTTTCCTTTCTAACTTTTCATTTTAAAAAAAGTCCTACTGACAAACTTTGAGAGCCATAATCCCCCAACCTGCTGAGTCACCAGACATCTGTGTGAGTTAGTAACTGCCTCAGCTGAATCTGTCTCCTGAAGATAATATAGTTTGTAGTTGGCGGGATTCTGGGCCCAAAGAGGAGGATATTTTTTGTAAGGTTTTTTTTTTTTCTTTTGGGTCTTGTCTCCACAACACATGTGACACTTCTCTCTGAATTAGAGGAGACAATTCATGTGAATTCTCCCTCTCTGTGTCTCTGTTACATTTTACCTTGCCAGGTTAGATCTTAGAAGTGGAACACTTTCCAAAGGAAACCGTGAGTACAGAATTCTTTATTGTGAAATTTATCACCAGAAAAATGATCTCCTTTGAACTTTCTGTATTATCTTGACAGAACCATTGAGAATGATTTCTTGGCTTTGAAGAAGTTGAGAAGTTTGAGAAGTTTTATTTTTTGTTAATTTTAACTATTTTTGCGACTATTTCTCCTTTTTTTTAACACTTTTAAAAGGGCAGGTTTATTAGGAAAAGATAAAGAAAAGGAGAGGTATGCATAGTCACAGGTAGCCAGGAGAGCTGCCATGACTATCTTCCTATAAACAAGATCTTGAGCTTGTTGCTATGCCCGTGTGTGTGGGTTCACACAGGGAACAATCAGGCAACTTGGAGCAAGCTAATGCACAATAAAGACTGGAGTGCCCATGGAATGATTTAATACTACAGTCAAATTAGTAATGACCATCAAAATATTCAGAGAGATGATTAAAACTGAACCTTTACATTCAATGTTCTTGCTAAGTTCACAGAGAAAACTCTGTCCTCACACACATGAGTGAAGGTGGGTCTGATGGAGACTTTATGGAAATTGTCACAAATAGGTTGGATCCCTCCACAGAGAAGGTAGTTTGACAATGTTTCCATTAGAAATAATTTGGAATTTGTGATAATTGGGTATTTGTAACATTTGTGATTAATGCAGATTAAAAAAATGTAAGCAATGTATGAGCTACATTTTTTGACCAAGTAGTTTTTTATTTAATTTCAAGTTTTAGAAAATACCTTTCTAGAATACTTTTCTTTTACATAAAAAGAAACATTTCCAAACTGTTGTGTATGTCATTTGTGATGCTAGTAGCAAGCCATTTTAAATTATTCATTAAATTAAGATCAGAGTAAACAGTATTTGACAATAACCTTTTAGCCACTGAAAACAGTGAAATCATATTTCTTTTTTATTTGTCTGAATCTCATTTAAATTGCTCATTTAAATTTGTCCTCCATCATTAGTGTACATTAGTTCTATTTATAAGACTTAATTAATATTCATAAAGGTTTATGTGAAAAGTGCTCTGAATGGTCAGCCTAATGAAAGCTGTGTGTGGTCAAATTATATGAATGCACTACAGCCCTTATAACAACACCTTTCCTAGACTTCAAGGTAGAGTCTTGACTTAGGCCAACAAGAACAAATGCCTGGAATGTATAACATGGCCAGCATATTAGAGATCTGAGAACTAGCAATAGAGAGAGAAGTTTCTTACCTGCAGGCTATGGAGACGGGTGGCCCAAAGGTGCTGGAGACAGCGGAAGAGATCCAGGAGAGGCGTCAGGAGGTGTTGGCGCGTTATCAGAGGTTCAAAGAGCTGGTTGCTGAGAGGGGACAGAAGCTAGAAGAATCCTACCACTACCAGGTTTTTAGACGGGATGCAGATGACCTGGAGAAATGGATTTTGGAAAAACTCAAGATTGCAGGCGACAAGAGCTATGAAGATCCAACAAACATACAGGTCTCTCAGCCCCAATGATGTCCCCACTCCCCCAGAGAACCATAGGGAGGGGAGCAGTCTTGTAAGCGCTTGTCTATTAAGTATCTTGGGATGTTGTAATTAAAAGATTAGATTATCTTTAAAGGACCATAATTCTACCTCTAACTAGCCCATGTATTTAACATTTTACGCCTCAGTATCTTTTTTACAAAGGAAACTCACTCTGGAGAGCATTCTATGAAAGTAACGTTCTTAGGAAGTTAAGCTTAACTTGATGTCGATATTTTGTGACACTTAAGGTCTAAAGAGACATCTATAATCTGAAACACACTCTCCATAGAGAGACATAAATTAACCAGGGATTTCACCAGGTTTTTTCCCAAATGGCTATTCATTTTCCTGGTTGAATCCAAATGAGCGGTTCCGAGAAGAGAGTTTGGAGGCAACTTCCTCCCTGAGCTCTAGGGTATTAGGTAGTCAGGATCAGAAGAATGGGCTACATGCCCAGAAGGAGTCATCCATGTTGGAAAGGGAGCCCTGGAACCAGAATAAGCTGATATCTGTTAAATGGATCAATTTATATAGGGCAAGAGGAACACAATCTGGCATGCAACTACCTCAATTAAAATAAACCACTGTTATAATGATCACCTTTCCCCTTGTGTTCTACGATCAATAGCACCTCATTACTCCTCTCTTCTGAACAGAGAACTCTAGCTGTTCTGCTCCTTCATTCTTACAGAAGATAATTGAACTTTAAAATAACAAAGGATTTACTGGAAATTCCCCAAAAGTAGCAGGAACAGAAGTAAAGCCATCTCACTGCTCCCTGACTTTGAACCTGGGACTGTTTCAAACTCTAAGTAGTCATTTGACCCAGAGGGACCATTTATTTTAGCATGTCATAGCTAATCACTTAATCTAAGTTGGAAATGAGTCATTCTGCCTGAAAGTAAGAGGAGAAATAAAAGGACCTCTTTAAGCTCCAAGGTGCTTACTTACACTTTGATTTCCGCTCTGCAGGGAAAATATCAGAAGCATGAGTCCTTTGAAGCAGAGGTGCAAGCAAAATCAAGGGTCATACCTGAGCTGGAAGAAATCAGGGAAGTTCGATTTGCTGAAGGTCATTTTGCCCATGAGGATACCAAGGTAAATGTGTGGTTAGTCTCTCCAAGAGAAGATCTAATCGTTGATTATATGTTGCCCGGTATAAATCTCAATGTATCTGGCTTGGAACTAGGCTCCCGTCATTAAATTTTCACTGTACTATTGGTTGTGGGAGAAAAACTGGTATTTCATTCCACTTTGTCCATAGCAGGAAAATTTGGCATGAAACCAAGCCCACACCAACTCAGCTCCACATTTCCAGACCCATTAATTTTCCCAAATGCCCTTTCTAATTATTTCTTCTAATTCCAAGATTCATTGTCCTTTAATCTCTTCAAACAGGGTTGTTCTCCCACCCAGATCTGCTCTGGAATCTCGCTACCTATGTCTACACTGACTCTTTCTCTTCACCATCCATTGCTGGAACCACTCTCTAAATCCTGCTGTTTGCTTTTCTGTAGAAGAAAAGTGAAGACCCATGTCTTCAGAAAAAAATCTTCCCTAAGCACTGAGAGCCACCACCATTTTGGAACTTTGGAGCCCTTATTAATGCATCAGCTCTATTCTGACTCAGTCTATATCTCTTCCAACTCATTTGATAGAGTTGATTCAGGATCTATCTCTTTTGCATAAGTGGATTTTTTTACCTTTATTCTTTTTTTTAAGATTTATGTATTTATTCATACAGAACTTGGGTACAGGCCAGAGATGTGGAGGGTGAAAGGATTCACCAGGGACAGAGTGGGGAGCAGACCAGGCAGATCGACGAAGTACACTGCTGAGGGGAGCAGCGGGCGGGTCAGGAGAGGTCTGCCACGCCATGTGGTCACCTCCTAGGAAGGCGGGAATTGAACTCATGCGCGGAAGTGGCTTAAGCTTCTTAGTGCTGTGCTTTAACCCGCTGCACCACCAGGGAGGGTCCAACCCCAAAGCATTTTTAAAGCATTTCTGCCATGGAAGACCATGTTTGGTTTGGTTAACAGCTGTTCCCTCATACCCCATTTCTTCCTGTAGATTTGTGTTGAACAACTAATGCTAGTGCAGAGGAGGCATTTATCTAGGTCTTTTTCTGTACATGTCTCCAGCTTCCCTATAGCCTCTGTGCCTGAGTGTTTTTGCTCCCTCCCCAAAGGTCCACCTGGAGGAGCTGCGGCGCCTATGGGACCTACTGCTGGAGCTAACTCGGGAGAAGGGTGCCCTGCTGCTGCGAGCCCTGAGGCTGCAGCAGTACCTGCAGGAGTGTGCAGACATCCTGGAGTGGATTGCAGACAAGGTACAGCACTTCTCACCCTGCTCCCCTACCCTGCTGGCAACCTAATGAAGACTATTCATTAGGAAGTCAGAGTGTCTGTACCTGGACTTGCTCCCTTGTGAGGAGGAATTCTGGTAACTATTTGGGATATCTTGGAGGTGATTACTATGGTAGGTGAGAAGGCCTAGAAGGAAGGAGATGGATATTGAGAACACAGGGCTATGCAAAAATCTTGGACAGACAGTCTGTGCATTGAAAGTGAGTGGCTCTTGTCTCCTTCCAACTTCTGTGATCCTTGACTCCTTCTAGATGTTTGCTCTTCTCTAGGTCTAGGCTGAGAGTTTTGCCAGCTTGTTCTCTGACCCCCTGTCTCTCAGTCTCAGTCACTGTGAAAGTTTTTATTTTTCTAAATACTTAAAAGAATAATACTATAATTAGGACTGAAGATATGCCTACATGTTCTGCATAATGCTTTTGTAGATATCCAGTTTGTTGAATTCAGTAGAACCAGGGTGAATGTATTATGTCAAAATGTACATTTTAACTTTTAGCACATGACACTGTGCCTGTTCTGTCCAGACCAGGGTACCACCTTGGAAAATACTGCTTCTACTTCTTCCAGAATCATTCTCCCCATGTCTCCATCTGAGCTATGCCAGAAGGAGGAAGGGGCTTGGGGCATTTGACCTGCAGAAATTCCTAAATGGTTTCTGGTGACTTTTCTGTGTCCGCAGGAGGCAATAGTGACATCAGTGGAGCTGGGTGAGGACTGGGAGCGCACAGAGGTTCTGCATAAGAAGTTTGAAGAGTTCCAGGTGGACCTGGCAGCTCGAAAGGGGAGAGTGGATGGAGTGAATCAATATGCCAATGAGTGTGCTGAGGTAAGAGCCCACCTAGGGAAAGAACCTGGCCCTCAGGGAGAACTGCTAGCCATTAGTAGGTGGAGCAGGGGCATATAGGACATGGTGAGAGAGAGCAGAAGGGCTCTTCAGTGACCATCCCAGATCAGTTCCTTCTCCTCTCCAGACCCTTCCCTTGCAGAACTATGGAACTGAGGTGTGGGCCTATGAGAGTGTGCATGAATGTGAGTGTATGAAATGTGACTGTGTGTGCATGTGAGTGGAAGTGTGTGTGTGTGAGTGCAGGAATGTGAATGTGTGCATGTGACTAAGAGTGTGTATGTGCAGTGTACGGATGACTGAGTGAGTGTGTGTGTATAGTATGTGTGTCTAACTGTGTGCATTTACATATGTTGAGAAATTAAATCTTCGAAGAGGCAACTCCTGCCTTGCACTGCTCAGTGGTGGATCCTGTTTGTACTGCACTCTGTCTTCATGAAGAAGAACCATCATAAAGTAGCAAAGAGTATAAATTCGTGGTGGGCTGACAAAGCACAGGTGACAACATTACATGGTTCTTTTGTGGGAGAAGAAGAAAGGGACAGATTGTCTTTCGCTTATTTCAGAAAATATATGAGAAGACAAATGTGGAGCATGGGAATAAATAACCCCATTATATGTCAGAGAGTGTGCAAGTCAAAATGATTTTCCATGTTTGTAAAAGACTAGAAATGCCAATAACTGGCTATTGTGCTCTACCATTGATGACTCATCCTTCCTGCAGCACTGTCATGGAAAGATCTTTCCATATCAAATAAACAAGATTTCAGGGTGAATGGGTATTGGAGTAGGGAAAATGGTCATTTTTTTTTTTTATCTGGATACATTTCAACATCCTTAAATTTTCTGTCCTGACTACCTCCCTCATGGTGATCTTTCTGCTATCTACTACTCCTCACAAGCAGCCACAAAACTTAACTCCCAAACATGAGTCAACACTTCAACCAGCAGGTCCGTGGCCCACTTGGTGCTCTCAAGGCTGCAGTGCTCTGGTGGGAAAAAGAACCAGAATAGGCCCTCCCTGGTGGCTCAGCGGGTTGAAGCACAGCACTGAGAAGCTAAAGCCAGTACCTCATGAGTTCGAATCCCGCCTGCCTTGGAGGAGATCCACATGGCGAGGCAGACCTCTCCTGACCCGCCCGCTGCTCCCCTCAGCAGTGT